TCTTTAATTGATTCACTTAAATAAGCAACCAGTCAGAAGTCAAGGACTTCCCGCATTCCATGCTGGCATTCAGCAGCTTAAGCAAGCTGCACACGCCCCTCCCCATGAATTACATTTCCTTGGGTGAATTTGCTCACAGATCAAATGTGCCCCAAATAACTAGGTTGGTAAGACATATTTAAGTGAATCAATTAAAGACTTAGCTGCAGCTGCATTCTCACAATAGGCTAAGATTAGTTTTATTATTGGATAGTGTTTGGCACAATGGGAGAACCCGGAGAAATGTACTGTATGAACTTAGTAGGATTCAACATGCAAATACAACAAAACGAACTAAGGCAATGAAACAAGTCAAACACATTTTATGCACTCAGCCATTGCGTCAAAAAAGCAGTAAATTGGAGGCATTATAAAGGAAACCTTATTAAAACAAGGAACAACCATTCAAACCATTTGTAAACTAGTTATAGGTAGGTGATTAATCCTAGCTTTGAATGCCATTGCTGCAAGACAATAACCATATTGGTTAACTCAGCAACCAAGTTAAGCATTTTGTGCAAATCTAGCCATGTACTAAGGAATGCAATTACTGTTAAGTTTAATTGCAACTATTAAATAAAAATATTCTAATTTAAGCATGTCTCTGATGTGAGCACAATAAAGCAAAATTCTTGCACCAAGAAAAAAGAAAATGCACATCTGTTATTATTATTCCCTCCCTTACTGGATTCCAATGCAGAAATTCCAAGCTGGGGGTTTTATTCACACAGCAACCTATTCCTCCAAAACTTAAATACTTTATTAAATTTCTTCTGCTCACCTTCAGCCACTGCAGTGTAGCAAGAGGATTCCCACTTGGAGAAATGCAGGTCAGTTTCAGTTCTTTGTTTTTTACCACTACTCCTGTGTAGCCCTTGATGACAGGCAGCTGAGGTGGGACTGTCAAAAAAAAAAAAGAACCACTATCAAAAACACTTTAGATTTTAGACACTTAGGGGAAGTGGCACTAAACTTTTGGAAGTTCTTAGCATCCTGCCTGGTGTATGGTGCACCTTGTAATTTCCTCCCACAAAGCTTCATCTGTATTCCAAGGTTGACGAACCTTTCATCCATTAGAACTCTGTTTCTCAGCCTTGGCAAAAACTTCAACTCCCAGAATTCTCCAGCTGGTTTGTTTTAAGAACGGTCTCAAAAACACCGTTCATGATCTCAACCAGTAGTGGGATTCAATTTTTTTTTTTTTTAACTATCAGTTCTGTGGCGGTGGTGTGGTGGGCGTGGCTTGGTGGGGTGTGGCAGGGGAAGGTTGCTGCAAAATCCCCATTCCC